TTCAGAACTCGAATCCGACCCCGATATCAATAAAAGTCAATTTGTAATCAAACTTTGAAATCTTTAAGCCTTTAGGCTTCTAGTTTTCGCCAGCTGGCGATAATTCAAGCTAGGAACCTCCAAATTAAATTTCAGGCATACGCCCAAGTCCCAAATTATGATACGGATCTACCGGAACTATCAAAATACTGATCCGAGTCCGTTTGCTCAGAATATTGACCAAAGTCAACTCAATTGAGTTTTAAGGCTCTATTTCACATTTTAATCAATTTTTCATATAAAACTTTCTAAAACATTATACAGACTGTGCACATAAGCCGAAGAATGATAAATAGTGCTTTTCGAGGTCTTAGATCACAGAAATAATTATTAATTTAAAGATGACCTTTTGGGTCATTACATTCTCCACCTCTAAAACAAACGTTCGTCCTCGAACGGAGTTAGAAAAAGTATCTGAGCTGGTAAAAAGGTGTGGATATTTACTCTGCATGTCCGACTCGGACTCCCAAGTAGATACTTCTACCGACTGACCTCTCCATTACACTCGAACTGAAGGGTAACTCTTAGACCTCAACTGTCTGACATGCCTGGCAAGAATAGTTGTTGACTCCTCTTCATACGTCAAATCTTTGTCCAATTGGACTGAGCTGAAATCTAACACATGGGATGGATCACCGTGATATTTTCGGAGCATAGACGCATGGAACACCAGATGAACCGTTGATAAACTAGGTGGTAATGCAAGCCTGTAGGCTACTTCACCCACCCTTTCAAGAATTTCGAAGGGTCCTATATACCTAGGGCTCAACTTGCCCTTCTTCTCAAACCTCATTACACCTTTCATAGGTGAAACTCGGAGCAATACTCTTTCTCCAACCATGAATGCAATATCACGAACCTTACGATCGGCATAACTCTTTTGCCTAGACTGAGTTGTGGGAAGTCGATCCTGAATAATTTTGACCTTATCCAAGGCATCCTGTACCAATTCGTACCCAATAACCGAGCCTTTCCCGGTTCAAACCAGCCAACTGGCAAACGGCATTGCCTTCCATATAATGCTTCATATGGAGCCATTTGAATGCTCGACTGGTAGCTATTATTATTGGCAAACTCCGCAAGTGGCAAGAACTGATCCCAAGAACCTCCAAAGTCTATAACACAAGCGCGTAGCATATCTTCCAACATCTGAATAGTGCGCTCTGACTGTCCATCTGTCTATAGATGAAATGTTGTACTCAACTCAACCCGCGTGCCTAACTCCTGCTGTACAGCCCTCTAGAAGTATGAGGTAAACTGCGTACCTCGGTTTGAGATAATAGACACTGGCACACCGTGAAGGTGGACAATCTCACGAATGTAAATTTCAGCTAACTGCTCTGAAGAAAAAGTAACTGCCACTAGAATGAAATGTGCTGACTTGGTCAACCTGTCCACAATGACCCAAAATGCGTCAAATTTTCTCTGAGTCTGTGGGAGCCCAACAACAAAATCCATAGTGATACGCTCCCACTTTCACTCAAAAATTTCTAACTTCTGAAGCAAACCACCAGGTCTCTAATGCTCATACTTAAATTGCTGACAATTCAGATACTGAGCTACATATGCAACTATATCCTTCTTCATTCTCCTCCACCAATAATGTTGCCGCAAATCTTGATACATTTTGGCGGCGCCTGGATGAATAGAATACCTGGAACTGTGGGCCTCTTCTAGAATTAATTCACGAATCCCATCCACATTAGGCACACAAATATGACCCTGCATTCGCAGAACTCCATCTTCCCCCACAAAAACCTGTTTGGCATTATCATGCCGCACCGTGTCCTTGAGGAAAAGTAAATGAGGATCATCATATTGCCGCTCTCTGATGCACTCATATAAAGAAGACCGAGCGATTGTGTAAGCTAGAACCCGACTGGGTTCTAAAATATCTAACCTCACAAACTGATTAGCCAAAGTCTGAACATCTGCAGCTAATGGTCTCTCACCCACCGGAATATATGCAAGACTGCCCATACTCACAACCTTTCTACTCAAAGCATCGGCCACCACATTAGCCTTTCCGGGGTGATACACAATGGTGATATCATAGTCTTTCAACAACTCTAACCATCTTCTCTGCCTCAAATTGAGATCTTTTTATTTGAACAGATACTGAAGGCTACGATGATCAGTAAATACCTCATACGAGACATCGTAGAGGTAATGCCTCCAAATCTTCAGCGTGTGAACAATGGCTACCAATTCTAAGTCATGAATAGGATAATTCTTCTCGTGAACTTTTAACTATCGCGATGCATATGCAATCACCTTGCCATCTTGCATCAATACTGCATCAAGCCCAACGCGAGATGCATCACAATATACCGTATAAGATCCTGAACCTGTGGGTAATACCAACACTGGCGCTGTAGTCAAAGCAGTCTTGAGCTTCTGAAAGCTCAACTCACACTCGTCTGACCATCTGAATGGGACACCTTTCTGGGTCAATCTGGTCAATGGGCTTGCTATAGATGAAAACCCTTCCACGAACCGACGATAATAACCTGCTAAACCCAGGAAACTCTGGATGTCTGTAACTGAAGTAGGTCTAGGACAATTCTGAACAGCCTCAATCTTCTTAGAATCTACCTTTATGCCTTCTACCGATACAACATGCCCCAAAAAGGCAACTGAGTTTAACCAAAACTCGCATTTTGAAAATTTAGCATATAACTGATTATTCTTCAAAGTTTGAAGCACACTCCGAAGATGCCGCTCATGCTCCTCTCGACTGCTGGAGTAAATCAAGATATCATCAATGAATACAACCACAAAAGAATCCAAATAGGGTTTGAACACCCGATTCATCAAATACATAAATGATGCTGGGGCATTTGTCAACCCAAATGACATTCCTAGGAATTCATAATATGCATACCGAGTTCGAAAAGTTGTCTTAGGGACATCAGATACCCTAATCTTCAACTGATGGTAACCAGACCTCAAGTCGATCTTTGAAAACACCTTGGCACCCTGAAGCTGATCGAATAAGTCATCAATTCTTGGCAGTAGATACTTGTTCTTGATAGTAGCCTTGTTCAACTGCCGATAATCTATACATATTCGCATTGAACCATCTTTCTTCTTTACACATAATACTGGTGCACCCCAGGGCGAGACACTAGGTCTAATGAATACCTTATCAAGCAAGTCTTGTAACTGCTCCTTCAATTCTTTCAACTCTGGTGGGGCCATACAATATGGTGGGATAGAAATGGGCTGACTGCCCGGAGCTATATCAATACAAAAATCAATATCTCTGTCGGGTGGCATCCCCAGCAAATCTACAGGGAATACTTATGGAAATTCACGTACAACTGGTACTGAGTCCATAGAAGGAACATCCGCATTGGGATCACGAATATAAGCCAAATAGTCTAGACACCCCTTCTCGACCATGCGCCGAGCTTTCATATAATAAATAATCTTGCTGGTAGAATGACCAGGAGTTCCTTTCCACTCTAACCGAGGTAACCCCGGCATGGCTAGGGTCACCGTCTTGACATGACAATCCAATATAGCATGATAAGGTGACATGCAATCCATACCCAATGATGACATCAAAATCTACCATATCAAGAAGTAAAAGATCCACACTAGTCTCAAGACTACCAATAGTAACTATACACGAACGATAGACATGATCTACTACAACAGAGTCTCCCACCGGTGTAGATACACACACAGAAGCACTCAAAGAACTATGAAGCACAACCAAATATGAAGTAAAATAGGAGGACATATAGGAATAAGTAGATCCTGGATCAAATAGAACTGAAGCATCTCTATGGCAAGCTGGAATAATACCTGTGATCATGGCATCGGATAACTCGGCATCAAGCCTAGCTAGAAAAGCATAAAATCGGGGTTGGTCCCCACCACTCTGAACTGCGTCTTTGGGATGGCTTCTAACTGGCTGGCCTCCACCTCTAATGGCCTGACCTCCACCTCTAATGGCCTGACCTCCACCTCTAGCTGCCTGACCCCTACCTCTAGCTGGCTGAGCAGGCGGTGAAGCAACCGGTGTTGGTATGATGGCACCAAAATCCTGCTAAGATCTGTTACTCGACAACCTAGGGCAATACCTCCTGATGTGGCCAATGTTCCCACACTCATAACACCCATCCTGATGTCGTGGCTGCTGAAGCGGAAGTTGACCCGAATGGGCCGGATAACCACTGTAGTGACTCTAGAGTGGTGGTGCACTGATAGGAGATGAAGGTACACTAAATGTTGGCTGCCCAGAGTAAGGCATAATAGGACCGTGACTCCTTGAAGCACCGGGAGATGCCTGAAGTGCTGAATAAAATGGTCTGGGAGGATGACCTCTACCAAAATGACCCCTGCCTCCAGACGAGGCACCACTTAAACCACCGAACTGACAAGGACTCTTATCAGACCTCTACCTTCTCTCCTGTACAAGAACTATCTCGATGCTCCTCGCGACATTAGCAGCTGCCTGAAAGGAAATCTCACTCCCGATCTCCTTGGCCATATGAAGCCTAATAGGGTAAGTAGGTCCCTCAATAAACCTCCTCACTCTCTCTCCCTCGGTAGGAAGTAAAAGGAGAGCATGACGGGCTAGATCCACAAAACGGGACTCATACTGAGTAACAATCATACTTCCCTGCTGTAGACGCTCAAATTACCTATGATAATCCTCTCTCAATGTGATAGGGAGGAACTTCTCTACAAATAGCCGTGAGAACTGCTCCCAGGTCAATGCAGGCGATCCAACTGGTTTGGTAAATGTATAATCTCTCCACCATCTCTTGGCAGAACCCGTCATCTGAAATACAGCAAAATCGACCCCATTGGTCTCAACTATACCCATGTTCCACATCACCTCATGGCAACGGTCAAGATAGTCCTGGGGGTCCTCAGAAGGTGTACCACTGAAGTGAACTGGAAAGAGCTTAGTAAACTTATCCAGTCTCAATAAGGACTCAAAAGACATGGCGGGCCTATCACCAGTCTGTGCCGTAACAACTGGCTGAACTACCCCAACTGGCGGGGCTGCGGGAGCCTGATTCTGGGGAGCCATCTGCTCCGGAGCGTGAGTAGTGGGAGTTTGTGCTCCTCCCCCAATCTATGAGACAACTGGTACCACTGGAAATGTATCATTCTGGGCCACGCCCTCCATAAGACTTACCAAACGGACTAGAGCGTCCTGAAGCACTAGAGTAGCTATGAATCCTTCCGGGACCTGAATTGGTCCAACTGGTACAGTCTAAACTGGAACGTCCTCCCAAAGATCCACCTGAGGTTCTACAACAGGTGCGGCTGCTCGAGCTTTAGACTGAGCTCTACCTCTACCTCGGCCTCTAGCACGACCTCGGCCTCGACCTCTTCCCCTGGCCATAGTTGCCACCGGGGGCTCTGGTCCCTGTCCGTCGATAGATGTATTACATTTTCTTGCCATCTCTGAGAGAATAAGAATAGAATGGTTCAATTATCGATGATAGAATAAAACCGCACGGCATGATAAGAAATAAGTGATATTGTTCCTAAACTTCAGAGCCTCTGAGAGATAAGTACAGACGTCTCCGTACCGATCCTTAAGACTCTACTAAGCTTGCTTGTGACTCGTGAGACCTATGTAACCTAATGCTCTAATACCAACTGTCACGATCCAAATTCCCACCTTCGGGATCGTGATGGCGCCTAACATTTCACTTGCCAGGCAAGCCAACGTTAGAAGAATATTAGCCATTTTAAAATAATTTTAAATTAATTAATAACAAAGAAACAAATACGGAAGTAAAGTCTGAAATGTAGTGAATAATCCATAATAATAGCGATGTCTAAATATCATCCCAGAACTGGAGTCACAAGTGCACGAGCTTCTAGAATGATACAAATAAGGGCCTGAATAAAATAAAGTTGTCTGAAAGCAAACACACAACTAAAGTAAAGTAGACGGGGACTTTAGAACTGCGGACGCTG